ATACCATAAAAAGTATCTTCCAGAAAAAATATACAACAAGGCAACAAAATCTTCCCTTTGGATTTAGAAATAATAAAATAGAAATATTTAGAAATATAAAATATCTACGAAAACTCTCAGCATTAAGGTGAACATTTACTTGTAGATATGTGCTATCAAATAATAAAAATCACACATAGAGGAAAGGGAAACGAAATGAATGGCGAGGAGGGTAAGCTCCTGACACAATTAAATCTTGAGATTGTAGCCAAAAGATACAGAGACATTGCCAGTGTAACCCAACGCTCTATGAAATTACACGTAGTGCTTGGCAAAGTTTAAATAAAATAACTAGAATACCCCCTGGTTAGGGCATGATAAATCAATGACAGATGATTGCTGGAGCAGACAGCCAAGCAACATTCAAGAGTGCAACACAGTTGGCAGAAGAATAAGTGAATGCTGGATATATACATTTACATATATACTATGTGCGAGTATATATGTATGTATGTACGTATAAAGTACTATTTGCATGCTTAGCATTTTAAACATTTCTCTCTCTCTAACTCTCTCTCAGTTGATTCGTTTATTTGTTACGCGGAGCCCAAAAGTGCTCTGGAGAAATGAAGAATGCAGCGGGCGAGCAATTTAGTTTAGTCTCTCCCCTCCCCAACTTCCGCATTCGGGGGGGATAAGAAAAGTCTTCTTGCTGCTTATATTTCTGTTGCTGTGGTGCCTGCCTGCCTGCCTGCCTGCTTTTGACTGTTTTACAAATTGAAAAACTAAATTAAACGCACAGAAACGTGGCAGATATTTTAGCATGGAAATTCAATTCGTTTGAAACCGCACACACAAAACACAAAAAAAAAAATGCCATTTGCCACATTTCTGCTTTAATTAAATTGAACAAGATGAAAGACATTTTGAGCATGGATTTAATTTAGATAGTTTTCATGTCTAACGCTTTTGTGTTTGATAATTAAATTAATGAGTCTTGAATCTTCAAAACTATAAAGATTCAAACACAAAATTAGAAGAAACAGATAAAATAAAAGAAAAGAAATATAACTAGCGCCTTCTCAACGGCAGAGGCCCATTGACCATGACAGGCCCACCCCGCCCCCACATATTGTGTGAATATACTGAGTATACTTTGCCCCATGGGCCCCCCAGCCACATGTTTTAATTATGTAGATAAATCCTTTAGGGAATTTACCTAGTAGCTAAATGTTAATTATATTCCATTAACAGCTTCAAGCCGATCAAAGCAGAACACACTGCCACAAAAACCACCTGTCCAGTGCTCTTTCTCGGGTATTATAGCCCTAGACTCGACTCTTACTCTTATAATGAGAGTTGTGCATATCGTACTTTGTGCTCGGCTTTCTTTAAATTATAATATATAATTTACTCAGCTGATGACAAGACTCACATAATGCTCCTCGGGCTCTCAAAACTAGGCCCTTTACTCGCACACCAAAATCTATGGTGTTCTGTGCTTCTCTCGCTCTTATCTGAAGCTTAATTGAGATTCACTTCAAGCTTACATCACTATAGGCCTCTCCTTCTCTCTTATACATTATACGCACAGCATTAGAGCTTATAAGACTATGCTCCTCTCGCTCTAGGCTTTAGAATTGTTAACCAAAGGCAAATGTAACACAACTAATTACCTCTCGCTCTGTCTTGTATATTATAAGCCCAAACATTTTAGCTGTAAAATTCTACTCCCCCCCTTCCTACAGTTCACTTACTCACTCACCTTTTCGGGGGATCTCCCTCTCTCTCACTGTCTCTCTGTCTCTCACTCTGTCTCTATATTAACAGCAGTTTTGTCACTAACTTCACGTTTTCGTTTTTGTTTTTGTTGTTTTAATTCAAATGTTTTAACCAGCCGAGTTGCACTTCACAATTGACCGAAACTTTAGTTGTTAACTAACATTAAACACGTCACAGAAGATCACTTGAGAAAAAAACAAAATACGACCAAAAATGGTGCATGCTTAAAACCGTTACACACGAGGCGATTTGAAAACACGTCTACCGTTATGGCGGGTATTCGCATGCTTTCGGATGCTCTTTGGTCCTGCTGTGTGGTGCGCTGCTTGCGCCGTTGGCAAGCGAACGCTGGCGTTGTCAATGCTGAACTGTTGGCTGCTACTTGTGGCATTCATCGTCCTCTGGATGCCAACGCAAAACATAAGAAGAGCAGAACGAAAAAAAAAAAGAAAAACAACCGACACACACGCATAGAAGAGGCGCCACAGCAGCAGCAGGCAGGCAGGCAGGCAGGCAGGCAGGCAGCAGCAGCAACAGAGACGCCACACGAGCAACAATGTGGATGTCGTGCCGTGGTCGTGGTCGTGTCGTGTCAGCTCGTTTGTCCCCCTCTTTTGGGTGCCAGTTCATTTCGTTTGATTCACTGCCGAATTCGCCTGCCGCTGCAAAATTCGTCTTCTGGGTAACGGTGAAAGCACAAGCTCCAGCTGACTCTCTCCTCTCTCAAAGCCTAGCTCTCTCACTCTCTCGCGCTCTCGCTGCAAACAAAAAGCCGGCTTCAATGCGGGAGCGTAAGACGCACAGCTGTTCTCTTTCGCTCTCTGTGCTTTACCGGTGCATTGGCAAGGTCCAATGGGCGTAAGGTGATGCAAAACTTCGGTGAAATAACGTCACAGGTGCCTGAACTGGAATGCAAATGCTGAAACCACAACCTACATATGCATGTGCATTGAACATGTATGGATCAGAGCGCGCAAAAATTAGAAAAATATATTAATTTGTACCAGATGCTTTGCTTTCCTATACAGAAACAAAATAAACTATAGAAAAATCTGTGTGGGCTAAAGCCCCTTGAAAGAGTTGGTTTTCCTTATCCAATCAAGTCTTCCGCCATATTGCACACTCGACATAGTTTGGACAGTAACCCCCTGCATCACCAGAGGGAATAATTTAGAAATTTAGCATAATGACGTCACAGCAAAGAGCAGAGCTCTGCCCTACACCCTACAATATGCACCATGGTGAGCGTGAGCGTGTCCGTGTCCCCACTCTTTGGCACAGTCCTGTCGAAAAGTATTCAAATAATCTTTCCATTTGTTTTGGTTTTTTGTTGTTGTATTTTTTAATTAATTCATAATAAAAGTTTCTATTTTTCGGTTTTTGTTGTTGTTTTGTTTTGTTTGTTTCGACGCTTAGCTAATATATTTTTATTATATATTATTTATATGTATATCTACAATAGTTATTAGCATTATCATTAATAAACTGTTTTTGTGTTTTTTTTTTGTTTGTTTGTTTGTATTATTTTTTTTTTTTGTGTTTGCTTAGGTTCATTCCGCTTTCTTATGTGGATTTGTGTGGTGTGGTGTTGTGTGTGGGGGTTTTTCGATTTTTAAGATTAGGGAAAACACCCGGAAAAATTAATATTCTCTTAAGACCGAGCGCTGACGGCGCCGCCCCACCCCTCCTCCCTATTCGATTGCTTAAATAACCAAAAAAAAAAAAAAAGAAGAAGTAAAGAATTGTTTTGTTTATAAATATGTATATATAGCGGAATATCTATATATTCATTTAGGCGTACATATAAAGTTTTTTTTAGTCTTAAATTTAGGGTTATCCAAAAAAAATTACACTAAAAAAAGATAATTATACATAATTATGCGGGAAATTGAAAGGGAACAAAATAATATAGTAGTGCTATATACTTAAGATACAATTTGTAGCATCATAAAATAGTAAACTTAAGTAATAAGAAAATTTTGATGGGATGGGTGGGGATGGGGGTAGGGGAACGTGTGGCATGTGGCATGTGTGTGTGTGTGTGTGTGTGGATAGTGCAGCCTGTGTTTGTTTGTGTATGTATGTGTGTGTGGGATCTCTAATAACTATAGACAATTTCCATCCTTAAATTGTTGAACATCGGGGTAAAACCATTGCACTTATCAAGAGCAATCATCCATAATCCTTTCATCATCCATCAATAACGATTCCCGAAAAAACAAACGAAACATCTCTCTGTCTCTCTCTCTCTCTACATCTCTGGGATATTGCATTTCAAATAAATATTAATCATTTGTTTAAACAGTTTGGTCAAAGCTGAACCGAACAGCTTGGTGTTTTCTTTGTTATTTTTTTAGTTTGTTTGTTTTTTGTTTTTGTTTTTTTGTGGTTTTGGGTTTATGTGGGGGGTGGGAAACATAAAAGTGTTTCTCCCCCCCGTTGCATTCCTCAAGCTGTTCTACAAAATTACTTGGTAGAGAAGCAGAGAACACAGGTCGTAGTTGTTGCATGTAGTCCTCCCTTCTCCTGTGTGAATCTTTTATTTGTTTTGTTTTTTGTTTCCTGCTAACGAAGGCTGAAAGCGTGTGGAGGATTCGACTTGTTAGACTTGACTCGCATTTTGGTTGTGTGTGTGTCCATCATCATCATCATTAATTATGTTCATACAATATATAAATGTAGATGCTGCTTTTTGTTTTTGTAAATATACAATCTTTATATACTCTATATATATATATATATGTATATATAATTTGTATATAGTTTAATTTTAGCTTTTTTATTGCAGTTGAGTATACTATGTTGACTTTTTGTTGGTGTTCTGTTTCTGTTGTTGTTGTTGTTGTTGTTGTTGGTGTTTTGTTGGTGTTTTTTTATCTTCGATTCAATTCGATTTTGAGGCTATATCTCTATTGCTTCTTAATTGGTTTTCAATTTGTATATTGTAGTCATCTTACTTTCATTTTACGGGTTGTTGGTGTTGGTTGGTGATTTTTTTTAGTTTCTTTTTCTTCCGCTTCTTTGCTTCATTATTTTTTTGTTTTTTTTTTAATTTATTATTTAAGTTACCTTTTCTTGCTAATTATAAATTATGTTTTAGTTTTTTGTTGCAGTTGGTTTTTTTTTTCATCTTTTTGTTGAACAGCTTGTTGTTGTTTTTTTTGTTTGCATCTTGTTGTTGAACAGCTTATTTGTTGTTGTTGTCTTGTTGTTGAACATTTCTTTTCTCGTTGTTGTTGTTGTTGTTGTAGAGCTTTGCATTTGTTAAACTCATTCTGGATCCCTTGCGCTGCAGCCGAGAGTTGTAAAACTGTGCCTCCATTGTGCTGCTGCCACCCACAACAGAGACACATGAGGGTTCTCTCGCGGGTCACAAGAGCGGCGGATCCATTGTGTGGTTTTTATAATTTTGGGGCCGGCGAGTGATGCGTCGCCTTGTGGGTAGAATCGAGTCGAGTTGTAGAGCAGAGCAGCAGGATGAACGTGTGTGTGAGAGTCCTGGTGTCATTGGTGGCCGGCTCCCCCACCCGCAGTCACCAGCGTAGTCCCCACATCACCGTCAAAATGGAATACGGGCGAGGCAATGCTGCTGGGTGGGGTTCTGGGCGTATCATCAACACATCATCGCAATCATCATCAGCTGCGCCAGAAAATGCTCTTTTTGAGCCTGACAGACAGCTTGCGATGCACGCGCAGCCTAACCTGCTCCTGATCCTAAGTATCGTCAGACATGAACGCGTTCTGAGTCTTCGACTCCTCAATCCGGCGGATCTGCTGCCGCAGATACATGATTCTGTAAAGCAACAACAAAACCAAAACAGATAAAGAGACTATTGTTTTGTGGAGGGGGTGTGTTGGGGGCGGCACTCACTTCTGTTCCTGGAGTGTGGCATTGATCTCAGTGCTGCGCACTAGACTCCGGGCGCATTTCAGTTCCGCGCAAATTCTCGTGCAGGTAATATCCCCAAACAGATGCGTATCCTCGCAGCATTTTTGCGCCTGCAACAAGGTACCAAAATGAATCACAAATGTTCAACCAGAGACGGGCAGATGGGAACGGGGGAGGGATGGGGGTTCAAATCAAACAGTTAGCAGGGGAGTCAAATCAAAATAGAAATATGTTCATGTGTTATTGTACGACCATATCCTACCTCAAAGCTTACCTGACGCTCCAGTATCTCGGCCTGCCAATTGGTCACATGCGCAATCAAATCAGCGCGAAAGTATTTCGCCAACTTTGGCGATATCTCCGGCCCCCGGAGATTGGCCGCCTGCACCGAGGCCGCCTGCAATGAGATAAGTGCGCCCGATGCCCCATCCACTACACACGAACGAAATCGAGAGTGGAATTATTATTTTGCGGGAATTATTTGGGAATTCAATCACGGCAATTCACTTACACTTTCGCTGCTGTTGGGCCTGTTGCGCCGCCTGCTGTTGCTGTTGGACCGATGCCTGAGCGACTGCAAGGGCTGCCGCTGCCATTGTGGCGGCCATCGCCACCTGTTGCTGCTGCTGTTGTTGTTCTAAAGCTGAGCTTAAATCTAATTCCATGGTTGGTGTGGGCGGACCACCGTCGCCAAGGGACATGACCCCCGCCACACTGTTGCTGCCCATTGAGGTGATCACACTGATCCCACTGACGGCACCCAGGCCGGGTACAATATTTTGGCTGCTACCATTACCGCCGCCGCCGCCGCCGCCACCGCCGCCGCCACCTGGCGTTGCCGGTGAGACACCGCCATCGACAACAGTCTTGATCGGGCCATAGGTCGCCTGGCAGGTATATGAATTTCCAATAATGCTGGCCATATTGGCGGCATTCACAACCGTTCCGGTGTTCGTAATACCCACAATCGTTGGTATGGGACTCTTGGTATAATTCAGCGGGGGCGATAGATTGTGATGGGGATGCGACATGTACAGCGGCGAATTGATGCTGTTATTGTCCCTGAAAGTGAAGGAAAGTTCCGAATTAGAGACGCGCAAGACGGAGGAATGACGGGCAGCAGACATACCTTAAGCTGTTTAAACTATTGCCGGTGACTGAATTATTGACCGAGTTGTAGGCATGATTCACCATTGCATCGGACCCTGATGCATTCACAGATGAGTTGTGTTGGCCATGGTCGTGCACGCCCATGCCCAAATGCATCTTCTGGCGTCCCTTGCTGCCGCCGCCGACACCGCCGCCCCCGCCGCCAGGCGGCAACGGTGCATTCGAGTTTAGGTGATGCTGGTGTTGATGCTGCTGCTGGTGGGGATCCTGATTCGACAGCGTTGGCACAGTCGTCTGAAATAAGTCAATTATCAGTTTGCTGCCAAGCAAACGAAAGTGAATAACTTACGCTGGAGGTGGAGCCTATGTGGCCAACAACTGAGTTTCTAAGGCTGCTGCTGTTGCTGCTGCTATTGGCAATGCTTGGCGGCACCGAGGAGAGTCCGCTGGTGGGCAGCATGGTGGCACCGGTAACGGGTCCCCCGCCTGGCCCACCGCCACTGTAGTGCATTGCAGCTGCTGCCGCTGCTGCTGCTGCTGCTGCAGCCGCTGCTCCGCCCATTGGCGCTCCACCAGCTCCCGAAGAGCTGCCCGTATTTGGATGTGAGGCCAACCGTGGCAGTGCATTACCCATGGGTTGATCCATTGTTGAATTGCTGCCATTGCCACCGCCACCTCCTCCGCCGCCTCCTCCTCCTCCTCCACTCATCCCGGTGCCGCCATGCGTGGTGGGGGTGCCGCTCAAGGAATAGCTGGCCTCTGAGGTGGGCGTCGAATCGCCGCTAATATCCATATCAGCATTCTCGTTATGTCGACCTGTTGTTTGGTCAGAGACTTGCATGAGAAACGTAATCCTGCATTAAGTTTCGGGCCCAAACATACCATCCAAACGTCTCCGATGACTCGGCGGGCCCACATCATCATTGTAGCTCCATCTCAGTCGTGTATTGTCCCGCGAAGAATTGGAATGTTTGTATGCTGTCCGAACGAGAGTGAGAAAGAGAATCGAATCAATCAAACGAATCCTGCAAATGCATTAACCCAACAGAGAGACAGAGAGGCAGAGAGAGAGAGAGAGAGACTTACTCGACCTGCTGAAGCGATCATCGCGATCTCGGTCCCGTTCCTTATCGCGATAGTCCTTCTCCCTGTGCTGGTCACGGGGCAAATTCCTAAGCACAGATAAATTGATACAGATTGATTGTAAGGAAAGACTGAGATTATGGTTTACCTTTCTCTGTCCACCCATTCCTTTGGCTTCTCCCACTGAGAGATTTCCGTTTTGCAGTTGTAATAATACATTTTTCCTGCAAGAGATAAACAAGTGCGAACACGTTTAGCACGAGGCATCGATCGCATCTGTGGCATCTATCTATCGGTGGTAAACTTACCCGACGAGCTGACATGTTCACTCCAGTCGCCATAGCGCGCCGTACGCTCGCCCCTGTCGCTGCGATCGCGCTTGTCTTGAAAGAGAGAGAAAAATTAAGCAAATCGTGGATCAGGTAGGTTTCCCGTCTGTTGACTCACCTGCATATTTATCCTTCTTGTACATATCCCTGTCACGATCAGAGCCCCGATCCCGCTTGTCGCGCATATCACGCAAATCACGATCCCTCTCCCGATCACGATCATCAGAGCCGGAACGTTTGTCGTTCTCGCGGGAGGAGCAAAGTTTGCCGCTGGCACCGCTGCCACCACCACCGCCACCGCCACGACGATCCCTGTCATGATTAGTGCGATACGATTCCGAGTCCCGATCATTGCCACGTCGATCTCTTTTATCTGCATAAAAATAATAGAAAATTAATCATGGGAAAATGGTTGTAGCCTGTAGCCTGCAGCCGATTTACACTTACCGGAATATTTATCCTTCTTGTAGACATCACGATCCCGATCGCGCATCTTTTGTATGAAGCTGTATCGCTCGTTGCTACCGCCACGGCCACCGCCGCCGCCGCCGTTGCCACCGCCACCACCGCCACCGCCGCTGCCACTCCCCCGATGATCGTTGCGATCCCGCAGATCGTGTGATCTCGATGAGGGGGAATCAATGTCGGGCGATTGGGAGCGATAGCTGTTGCCATTGTTTAGTGGGCCGCCGCCGCCGCCGCCGCCGCCGCCATTGCCGCTGTTGCTGCCGCCACCGGTGCCGCTGCCGCCGCCTCCACCTCCACCGCCACTGCCACCCGGCGAGAGGTCGCGATCGCGATAATTGGAGGAACGATCACGTTCATAGTCGCGCTTTGAACTGCTGTACTTTGAGCTCTGCATTGATGGACAGATGGACAGAACCAGAAGTGGGAGCACAAGTGTTGGGGGCGAGAGTTGGGGGGGAGTAGAAGAAGTACATTGTCATATATAGATTGTTTTAGTCTGGGGGGTCTCTCTACAAAGCTGCGGATGGATGCGGATGCTCTAATGCACTGCTCTGATTACGTTTGTTTGCTTTTTTCTTTTTCTCTTTCTTTTTTCTCTTTTTTGGTTAGTTGGTTAATTAATTATTATTAAGTTATGGTTTTATGGTTACGGTTGCGGCTTTGCTGCGTGGGGGGACGGGGGGACAAGTACTTTCGGTTAGTTGTCAAATGAAATAATAAATTCTACTTGAATGGTTTTAACTAACTAAAGTCTCATAAAATATATATTGTAGATATAGTGACCAAAAATAATACGGCTTACGGAGTAACGGAATGCAACAAACAAAAACAAAAATGCATCTACTATTATTGCCAATTTGTGTTTTTGTTTTTGTTTTTTTTTTTTGTTTTTTCTTGTGAGAGAATTAATATAATATAATGCCAATACGCCAATATATGTATGTATAGAAAAAAGGAAATGACAGATTATTATCTGAGATTTATAGAGACAAATGATATGCAATTTTGTTGTGTTTTAAATTTTTGTTTTGCGTTTGTTTTTTTATCGGTTTGTAAATTTTCATTTTCGAATTTCTTTTCCACTGCAAAATGAAAAACGGTAAAAAAAAAAACGTAGGAGCGAACGAAACTGGAACGGAACGGAACGAACAAATGGTAAACGAAACTCAATTTGCGTTTAAAATTATAAAAATTCATACGAATTTTGTTTTTTGTTTTTTTTTGATTAAATATTTTGTTTTGGGCATTCTTTTTTTTTTTTTGTTTGGTTTCTTTTCTTTGTATGCTTCTTCTGCTGTTGCTGCTGCTTCATCTTTGGTTGCATCCTTCTGGCGGTGCTGCTTATCCCGTTTAATCCTGTCTCTCCTTCTCACTCCCACTCTCTTCTCTCACTGTCTCTCTCTGTCTATGCTCTGTCTGTCTCGCTTTTACTTACATCTAGGCGGCAGAAGCCAACAGCTGACGTTGACATAGACGTCATTGCTGCTGCTGCGACGGCGCTCTTGCTGCTGCTGCTGCTGCCGCTAACGCTGCTGCTGCTGCAGTTTGCTGCCGCTGCCACCGAGAGAGACAAATCAACGGCCATGTTGTTGCTGTTGCTGTTGCTGCTGCTGCTGTTGATGTTGTTGTGATTGTGGTTGTGGCTGCCGCTGCTGCCCCTCATCGATGACTTGCTGCTCCTCTTGCCCAGGGGCCGCCTGATCCTGATCCTCGTCCTGGTCCTCGTCCTAAAGCTGATTAGGATATCAATGTTGTTGGATTTTTTATATAAACTTTGGATTTTTAAAACCGCAGAGTAAGCTCTGCTTTCCGTCTTGCTGCTGCTCCTTTTCGGCTTCTCCTTGTTTTTTCGTTATGTCCTCTCCCTTCCTTTCCTTTCCTTTCCTGTTCACTTTCCTTTGGTTTTGTTGTTGTTTTAATTGATTGTTGCTTAGGTTGTTTTTTTTTTTTGAGGCACGTTTGTGTATTTTGTTGCTATTTTGTTGATAGTTTATTTTTCGTTATTTTTTAATAGTTGCTGTTTGGTTTTGGTTTTTGTTAAGGCTACTGATTTGATTAAGATTTGGTTTAGGCAGCGCTTAGTAATTTGTTGTGCGTTTTAATTATTGCTTCTAATAGTCGTATACATATACATATACATATATATAAATGTATAAATATGTATATTTTTAATAGAGTTAATAAATGGAAATATTCGATTTGATTTGTATAATTGTTTAATAATAACTTCTATAGAATATTTATAGATCTCGGTTCTTAAAGCATTTTTTCCGGCCCTTCTTTTGTTTTGGTATATTCCGTTATCCGTTTACTGTTTTTCTGTTTGATATATTTTTTTCAGATTAATGATTTTATGGCGCTAACTTTTTTATCGTAGGATATTTTGGTTGTATTTCGTTTGTTTGTTTGTTTGTTGTAATTATTTTGTTTGGTTTTTAGTTAAAAAAACTTGCAGTAAATATATATAGTATATATGATTTGGCGTTTTGTTTTGTATTTGCTTTTAGTTTCGAAGTAGTATATTTTCTAGGCGTTTTTCCAGTTTCGTTAATAATTCGTTAACGGTATATATATATATATATATATTGTTTGGTATGCTATATAGATTCGTTTCTCAATTTCAATATCAGTTCGATTGGCTGCAATGCCGCGTGTTCCCAATGGGTTAAAATGAAACGGTTTTTGTCAGTTCTAGAATGGATGGTGGGGTGTGGGGGGACGGGTCGAATATGGGCGGCTTGTGGGTTTTTGAGAGGTGTCTGTGGGGGGTAGAGTGTTTCTTGACATTTGGATGCACACACACAGACACGTTTTGGGGACACACACACACACATCGATAAATTAAGGGAATAAAATTCTGGGTTTATGTTGTCTAAAAATCAAACCATTTATCAACGCAAAAATTAGACACTGTGGGTTGGGTGTTCTTCTACATAAATTGGGATGATAACTGGATGGATTTTGCATTGGCTTTTTGGCTCTATATATACACACACATATGACCACTAAAGAATAACTACTTGTTAACACTAGCCTACAAAACAAAACAAAACAAAAACGAAAAACAAAAACACAAATGCAAAATATGCAAGCAACCGAATCTCAAAATACTATACAAAAAAAAGGATACATCAGAGGGCGGGCGGGTGTTTGTTTTTGGTTAGTATACATATATTACGAGTAGTAAGTAAAATTTTGTATTTTTTTGTAGTCTGTATTTCGTTTCTTGGTTTCTTGTTTTTTTTGGATAATTTGGACTTTGTTGTTCTTTGGTTTTCAGCTGTATCTTCAAGACACGGGAACTGTCTGCTCACCTGGTAGGAAGTGTGACTGGTATGCTTCTCAAAGTACCTGCAGAATTAAAGATAAAGAGACGAAATATATGGATTAGTTGATATAACACAAATGATTAATGAAAATAAAAGCCACACACAAAAACCACACATATTGCTTTTTCTATATCCATTATATATCCTTTCTATTGTGCCGTTACCTTGTTTGGCGTATTTAAAAACGTTTAAAAGGTAAACAAAATTAATGGGAATAACCGAGAAATACAAATAAAAGAACTAAAAAAAGAAAGAGTTAAATGGCAAATGCCAAAACGGTAAATGTGGATAGGAATCTCTTTTCCGTTTGACAGCTGAGCCGGTGCGAGCGAGAGGCAGCTAGCGTGTGGTGAAAATACAAAACACACACGAACAACTGGAGAATGAAGCATAGGCCAAAAATTACAACCAAACGCCACCTTAAAATGAATGAAATTATTTGTTGAATGGCCGAAAATCATAACAATAGTGAAATCAAAATATTGGAACGGACGCTAAAAGATAGATGAGATAGGGTAGGGGGCCTGGGCTGCTACGAGCATTGCCACACACAGAACGTAAACAAAAAATATTCAATTATGGGTTTGCCTCTATGCATGCATGTGTGCGTCTGTGCCTGTGCTTCCAGCCTGCATGTGCAATTGCAATTGCCAATGTGTGCGTGTCTCTGTGTGTGGGTGTTAGTGTTATTGGAAATCGTACCCATCGTTCATACGCTGCGGTTTTCTAGCATGCATTACCATCAATGCAAAATTTTCGCCAAATACGCTGCTTCTATTGTGATTGTTTTTGTTGTTGTTGTTGCTGTTGTTGGTGCCTCCAATCCCGCTCCAATGGCAGCGTGGTGCTCCTCCAGCTGCTACTGCTACACCTGCTGCTGCGCTCAGCGTGACAATGCTGTTGGCATCAACTGTGTGGAACCTTGTCTGTCGCCAAACTGGGCCTAATTACGGATAGGGTCCGGCCTCTGTCCTTGGGTAGTTCCTTTGGCTTTCCTTGCCTGTGGTTCTGCTTCGCCTGCTGCTGTCTTTTGTGGCGGCTAATGTTTCTTTTTCGGGGCTTTTGCCGCCTCCTTCTCACCTGCCAAGGCACACGCTTGTAGTTGTGTAGAATATATATGTGGCTGTGTGTGTATTTCAGTGTGTTGGGGGGCTCTCCCAACGCGGGCGTGTGCGTGTGTGTTTCGCCGTTTAGCAGCCGTTTATCGGCTCTGATTGTTGCCTCCTGAAAAACAGAACCAACATCAGCTATTTGTGTGTAATTCCTGGGCAAATGATTAATTTTATTTGGAAGAATGCATAGCGGCTTGCAGTTTTTTCACTGGTTGGTGTGTGCGCTCGCATATGTGTTTGTGTGCGTGTTCGTGTGTATGTGTGCGTGTGTGAGTGTCGTTGTCGCTTCTTCGTATTTTTCTTCGCTTCTTTGGGGGGTCTTTGGGAACTCTACTCTGGTTTAATTAGCTTACCGCAATTTGCTTACCGCTCGCATGTACAACGCATTACACGGTGCATTTAGTTGTTGGGAATATAAATTACTTGATAACTCGCCCCCGACTGCTGCGTTTGGATAGAGGATGATTTTTTTCAATTCTTTTACATTACGCTTTGCGTGGTCTGTTCGTCGGCACGGCTGTGTTGAATTTGACAAGTCAGTTTATATACTCGTCTCCCTTGCACTCTGGCTGGCCCATCGGCCATTTCCCCTGCCAAAGGTGATAACTGTGCGAACGACAAGGCCAGAAGTATGTTGAAACATTTTGGTACTCGTGGTGAACACCAGCTGGCGCCAATAATACAGCGCAGCGCAGTGTTCATACGGTCACTCGATTGTCAAATATGAATGCTCATATTTGCGCTAAAAGAGGTAAAAAATATCGGTATAACGACATTTTCATATCATTTACTTGATACCGATAATTTCATTTTCTTTCTTTGATACCGATAGCTGCGTTTCATTATTTCATATCGATACTATCGATAGTGCCCTCGATGGTTTGACACCTCTACAAAAGAAAATAAGAGGAAATTCCCGCAGATTTTCACGGCATGAGACCGCCGCAACCCAGCAGTATCATCAGCAATCACATTTTTCTGACCCACAACAACGACTACGGTCGCAGCATAGAGAAGGTGGGTGCACAAGTCAACACAAGCATTTATGTGCTCCTCCAAATTCATAAAATTCTTTCCCCTAGCTATGCGAACGTGTCACGCTCCGTGACAAGCGAGTGCTGTTCATCTCGAGCCGCATTGACGATCTGTCGAATGTGGCCGGTGAATGGAATGGCCGCGAGGCCATCGTCAAGGGTCGTATTACGCCGTTCAGGCTGACTGACATCGAGAGTACGCCGCAAAAACTGCTGGACATACATGATGAATACCAGCCATCTCACGGCCTGCCCGATCTCATTGTGTTTGACTTGCATTCCGTAATTGCGGAGCTGCTGCAGCGACCCCTGCTGCAGCAGTGCTCCACCGACAAGCTGGTGCGCCACATTGCCAAATGTTCGGCGTCCTTTGCCAATTATCGTGAGCTGCTCTGCAGTGAGTGGCTCGGCGGCAAGTCGGTGGATGATAGTGGGCACAGTGGAGTGGACACTGTAGTGGTCATGTCGCAGGAATCGTATCCCATGACGCCGGCACAGTTTAAGCTGCTGATGGGCCTCTATTACTGTGGCAACGAATGCTACACAAGCTTCTCCAAGCTCTCCACCCAGATCTCGCTGTCGCAGGGACTAAACGTCTAACCGGATAGAATGTGCGCCGGAACGTGCCTTGGACGTGTCACCGTGTCGTCGTCCCCTTAACAACTAGTTCCTTCAACAAACACATACTCGTACTCGTACTCGTGCATATCCCCCCGCTATCCACAGCGACAGTTCTTGGAAGCAGCTGTTAGCAGATAGATTATCCATATATATATATACATTATAAATAGGTACTCGTAGACATTTACCCCTCGAGCAAACAAACAAAACCTACATGGCATCCATGCAAACTGTTTATACACAAAACGAAAACCACATGAATCGAATCATCGATTGGAGGAGGCCCAAGACTTGAAGACTTAAATCTAAAAAATTAAACATTACCAAACGAAACACACACACACACACACACAAAAAACAAGTATAATGTAATTGTAATATACATACAAGCATATATTTAACAACATTATACATACATGCATATATACACATGAATTCCAATGAAAATTTACAATGCTTTGCAGTCTTTGAATCTGGTGGGCCTTTCGTGGGCCTTTCGGCTGGATGAGCACACACCTCTTGCTGCAATTTGCGGATTGATCGGAGCACTGCAAGCTGTCGAAGATAAAGTAAACAAAGCACAGAGGCGTCAAACAGTCTCCAAACTCCAAGGCTTTCGTCTCTGGAAGCTGATAGCTGGGAGTGGGGTGGCAGCCGTCGCGTTCGCCTCTCTTAGGGACGAGCTGTATGCACATTTCTTTGACCCACCAGACAAGAGGCTTGTGCGGGCGAGGATCTGCAGCAGTGCTAACCCCAGAGCAGCCAACCCCACAGATATCCAAACTATATGACATAATGATATATTACGAATATTACGAATTTATTTCCTAATCGCGATTAAAACTACAAAAAAAAATGTGTGTATAAATAAGATATAAATTCGAATATACAAAATGTGTAAAACAGCTTAATAAGTTAAACTAAATTTAAATCTCAGCAGCAGATGAAATTAGTTCGATTCGATGAGTAATTGCTTGAGGAATGTGCATATATATATTCCTAAGATGCGATCGAGATTTCCGATGCTTAAAAGCTAAACACAAAAACAAAAAAAGGAACTAATAATTGTGTGTATAAAGCCCCAACCCTGACCCCAGAGTGACTCAAGCAGAGACCAGAGACCGCTCTTAAATGTAGTCCAGCATTCCGCTGACAATCTCGAAGGCATCCCGCGCTGTCGGCTCTATGGCGCTGCTGGGCAGCAGGTAGCCATGCACCCCATTATCCGCCAGTTGGATTGTATAGCTAAAGGGTATGCCGATCTCGTACGCGGCAAAGGCATCAGCGCAGCCTGACAAGAAAATAAAACCAAAAAAATAAATAAAAATACTTGCGGATGAGTGCAAATCCAAACTGGAAGGAAGGTTTATGCTCACCGGAACGCTGCTCGATTAGATCATTGGAGGCGTCTACTTTGTAGCGCGATTTGCTGCCCTTCTTGCGCAGGCCATCGGTGCCCACCATGGCCACGTCCAGAAAGTCATCCAAGCGCTCCGAATTAAATGTGGAATTCGTCTTCACCGGATACGAGACCACTTGGCCGTACGCCTGCAGCGAAATGTAAAGCTGCGGGGGTGGGGGGGGGAAGCGAGAACCTTAATCCAGGCAACCGTTTATAAAGGAAGAAGGCGAACCGAACACCCACCTTGATTTGTGTGCGTTGATCCATGAGAAAATCGGAGACGGCCTTGGTCTCGGGTTCCGAGAAGGGTGCGGGTCCTGCATAGAACTCATTGCAGGGCGCCTTGGAGCTGCCCCGCTTGCCCCAGTGGTACAGCCAATTGCGGTCAAGATCCACGCCGTGGCAGACCTTATCCTGGCCGCGTTTCGGTTGCAGCCACGTCATGGCCGAGTCGAGCAGTCCGCCTGGGGCGCGTGCCAAATGCTGAGAGCGCGACTTCTTCCAGAACCGATCGTACTCGTGGCTATACGCATATCCATCAGGATTCAGCACGGGCATTATGTACCACGTGGTGTTCCGTATAAGCTCCAGCTCCTCGTTGTTTTCTAAAAAATTGAATGGGAATAAAGACGAAATTAAACTACAGATACATATTGCATTTTGTTCGGAGGTGGAACTGTGCCGTGCGATACGATACGATACCAAAAGTTCCATCTCTAGCTTTTAGCATAAGCCGCTCTCTGAGAGCGCAGAACTCTATCAACTTTGTCGCTTGAGATGAATTTAGTAATAAAATGACGTCGTACGTTGTGGAGGACCATGATGAAATTATACAAGGTGATTAATTCCCGCAACGCGCTTCTTTCGGGGCTTATTTTGCTCGTACAAATGTAAATACTGTAAAATACTTCGCTGTGATTGCATGTGTGTGCGTATGAATAAGGCCGCAAAGAGAGGGAATGACTTGCATCATTTCTCTCGGCTCTCACAGACACAAGAGCTTGAGTGACAAAGCACTCTTGTTGTTGCTGTTTTTGTTGTCTGCTTGGTCCTCGAAAGAGAGCAGATGCGGTGGTGATGACGTCACTGCCTACGCTGCGCCTGCGAGCTGCGCAATCAGTTAATTGCGAATCTAATTGACATTTCATTCGATTTGAAATGTTTCTCCAATCAAAATGGCCTTTGCTTTAGTCGTATCCTGAGTTTCCTCCCGACAGAACCCAGAAAACAAAAAAAACATCAATCAACCGGAGATCCGGAGATCCGGAGACCCACACCCACAGAGTTTCCCAACAACCAACAAAATTGAACGTGCAACCAAAGCAACCACCAACTGAGGCCGCGAACGGAGGGGAGGATCCCTGTGCTGGTCGCTCCTGCTGCTGGGCAATGGCAGCCAAAACTGGTCCCTGGCGTCCCCCGGCGATGATGGACTACAGCTTGGGCATGGCCATGCGCCACCTGTGCACATCGTCGCAGTGTCCGTGCAGAAAGTGCAGGGCACGCCACATGTCGCAGGCCAGAGCTCCTGCAGGCACGGGCAACGGCACAGGCAACGGCACAGGCAACGGCAACGGGCCAGCCAGAGGAACTCCACCAGCGTGCAGCGGACGAAGCAGTCCCGGCCCCATCCACAACATCGAATCCAGGCACATGAACTTCACCGGCAAGAACACGTTCGGCGAGCGGGACAGCAGTCTGCCGCAGGGCAGAATAAGGCCGGAGGTGGACGACATCACATGCAATGCGGCCGCTGTGCTATCGTCGTCGTATGTGCGCCACTCGAATCTCCGCGACACATTTGGGGTGCAGGTGCCGCACGGCACCGGCGATTTGGTTGGCCCCGGCCACGGCCTCTGCAGTGCGGACATGCGCTGTGACGAGAGCTGCGGCTATGGGACGGGCTGTGCCGCCGGCTGCGCAAGTCGCAGGCAGCCGGGCACACCGCCAGCCAGAGTCGAGGGCAGCGGCTTCAGTGGCAGCGGCCTGGCGCTCGCCGCAGCAGCGTCCAGCGCCTGCGGCGGCAGGATAAGCGCATTCGATGGCAGCGGCTTTGGGGCACCAAACGGTTCCGGCGGCGGCGTAAGCGGCTGCGGCAGGAGAGAGTTTGGTTACAGTGTCACCAGCAGTGGACTCGGCGGCGCCAGCAGCCTAGTCCGTGGAGGTGGCAGCGGTTTCATCGGTGGCCCGGGCAGCGTCTCACGAGCGGGCGCCAGTCTAACCGGTGGCGTAGGCCCCGGCGGATATGGACGGGGTCGGGGTTTCGTAGAGATCGAAGAGGCCACGGCTGGTGGTGGACGCCCGCCACCGGGTGCTGGTAGAGAGCCCAACAATACGCTCCGCGGCCCCGTGGGCATTGATTTGTTTCGGAACGAAGGCATCAACCTCGCACTCACCTTCATGATCGAGATCATGGGCGTGCTCATGTGAGTATCTGAGCGTCAGTAGATCCCCTCAGTCTCCTGATTCCCTGTCTCCTGTCCCCTCTTAGCTTCTTTGCCGTCTGCACCATCAGCTTCTGGATCACACTGGGCTACTATGTCGTCAAGCTATTGGTGGACTTGAAGAACGCGGACAAGCGCGTGAAGACGGCCGTGGCCATACTGGTGGGCCTGCTGCTGATTGCCTTTCTGGTGACGCTGGTCACGAACCGCGAGGGGGGCTTCTGCTGCCGCAAGAGTCGGCCCAAGGCCAAGAGCAGGTGGAGCCTCAACTGTTGTCCCAGGCTCAAGGGTTTGATCGGCAGCTGCCCCAAGCACAAGCCCAAGGCCAAAGCAAAGGTTGTGGTAGTGCCCGTCTGCCCCAAGCCAAAGCCACCCGCATGCCCCAAGTGCAAGGCGACCCCGAAATGTCCCGCGTGCAAGGCAACCAAACCGGCGAGCTGCAACGTCAAGCCAGTGGCCTGCAAGCAGAAGGCCAAGCCAGCGCCCATCAAGGTGGGCAAAAAGCCCGTCAAATGCTGGCTGGGCAAGTGCAACATCAAGGCCACTTCGTGCCCCAAGAAAGTGCGCTACACGGACAAGCAGGGACGTGCCATATTCCAGAACTCCAAGCGGTATGCCATACCCTGTGAAATGAAGCAGCCGCCGACGGTGCTTATCTGGCTAAGGGATCTCATTTTGAATCTGCTGGGCTACTGATGGCCGAATCACGAGAAGCGAACACGAGAAGGGCCAACGAGAAGGGACAACGAGAAGCGAACACGAGAAGGGACAACGAGAAGGGACAACGAGAAGGGACAACGAGAAGGGACAACGAGAAGGGACAACGAGAAGGGACAACGAGAAGGGAACGGAAACGGGGGATCAGGAAAGCGGAACAAACCAAAATTTTGAAGTTTCAATAAACACTCTAGTTGGCATGGAACGAACGGGGCTTAAGTGGTGGCCATGGAGGTGTGGCTTCAACTGGGGGGGATGGCCAACCTGAGTGGGATCCATGTCTTGGTCGGTCTGTTTCGGTTCACCGAACCATATACATTGCTTGGGCATGAGACAGCAAAGTCGGGCACGATTCCAGTTGCACAATCGAATTGTAGGTATATCTGGGACAGTCCGGGAGACTTGTACCGAAACCTGGGCCCAAAAGCAACGCTCTCGATGTTGGGAATCAATTTTATATTCCTAAACTTAATACTCCTGATCTAAATATCCATCCATAACCCGAAAAAAGCTAAGAATATATTCAGAAAATTAAAGCTGAAGTCAATTCAATGATCATCGCATAAGAAAGGGTCCATTGCAGCTATAAGGATGCTAATTTAATGCTAAAGAATAGAAAAAGGTATCCAAGAAGATCACCAAAAAGATCCATTAAGATCCAGTAATTCTCGTACTTAGATATCCGAAGTATACTCGAAATGGGACTCAAAATATTTTAGCATCTATTCTTGAGAATACGAATGGGCTATAGCAAAGACTATGCAACACCAAAGACTGTGTATTACGGAGAAGTAAATCTCTTTTCTCCTTTTTTTTGTTGGATTTAGTGGACCGATTCTGCCCAAGGCATTGACCGCACAGACGAAGCCGAAGTAACGGCCCGAGTGAGAATCGAAGTACCACGAGACCACGTTGAAATGGAATTTATAGAATTCTACAGTCTTTGGTTATAAATTAAATGAGAGAAAATACGCGGATATTTTGGGGCTTCTTCTTTCTACTCACTGCTGGTTTTCATCAGTCGCAGCAGCTCGGAGATCATCCAGGTGGCCGTCGCGGGCCCAATCCAGGCCAGGCCATGTGCGCCCGCCTCCACAAAGACGGCATTCGCCTGGCCAGACTTGCGCTTGCGCTTGGGCCTCTTGTAGCCCGTGGCCGTGGCATTGGCTGCACTGGCCGCCGATTGCTTGGACTCGATTTTGACGACAATCAGGGGACGACCCTCGTAGGAGCGTCCAATGTGAATGAGCTCGACCAGCTGCGGATGCCGCATGCGCATCGTTTCCAGATACTGGACAATCTCGTCGTGTGTGTGATAGCGATTCCAGGTCATGCCTGGCTTCGACTGGGATGGCGATGGCCGCGATGGACGCTTCAGTGCGATGGGTGTGGTGTGCAGATAGTCCTCCTTCGATTGCTCATAGGCAATGGCCTTGCCCACATCGAAGATGAGCACCTCATGGGCAATGCCCTCGTAGTTGAGTGTGCCCTGGAAGTCCACCAGTATTTTGGGCGGCACCAGGACATCGGTGAGGCCTCTGGCAGGCGAATTATTAATTATTTTTTTAAAGATTTTACTCTCTGCGGCTAAGCTCTGTTCTCACCTGAGACTGGGACCCTTGAGCCAGTGCATCTTGACGCCATCCTCGCCCTTCTTGAACTCCTCCAGGACACGCACCTGTGCCTCATCCTGCGGCTTTAAGCGCCAAATCTGATACTTCTCGTAGCTTATCCTGCGCGGCATATCCGGCTTCGTGGTGGTCGTTGTCGTCCCTTTGGTCGTCGTCATTCTGGTGACCAGCGCCTGCAGCAGGGGATTCGCTGTCGTTGTGCCCGTCGTGTTGACTATGTGATGGGCGAGTATGCCAATCCAATTTTGGGGATTCCTCAGCGGATCCACAATCGTCAGTATGGGCACCTGAGCAGTCGGTTGGCTGGTTGTCGTCGATGTGGTCGTCGTTGAGGTGGTGCTGCGTCGTCGCACTTTCCGCTTGGGCTTCGCATCGAACCAGCTATAAAACCATTCTGGAAGCGCATAAAAGTGGATCGCATTTTAGGTTTATTGAAGAAAGAATGGAGTGCAGAAAGCGTGACACACAGAATAAACTGCCCACATGCAACCAGCAACCATCAACCACTTGAGGGTCGTTCTACCTATTGATTAACGGTGGGTCTTGGCTCTGGCTCTGGCTCTGTCTTTTGGTTAGGTTGGAGGGGGCAAAGTGCCTACCAGTTGGGTAGGTTTCTTTCCCCCATGCCCCAGAGTCTTTGCAAGCAACCGAGGTGCGCTGCCGCATGTCGAATCGACTTCATATTGATTTGTGTGTAAACTTTTGGGCTCATTTGAACTTTAAATCGAATTAAATTGTTACAAATTAATGCCACTAAAATCATACAAAAAGAGAAGGAACGTTGTGAGTCGCTTCTGTGGCCGCGACTCTACTTTTATACCCGTACTCAGCAGTAACATTGCTTCGCTTTATCTTCAGGTATCGACACAAATCGATCCCTTGATCGATTCATGAATTCTGTACATATACTCACTGTCATAATCATCTTCATCGGCATCCATGGGCGCTGTTGTTGTCGTTGTTGTCGTCTTGCCAAAGCCAAACCAGGACTCCAGCCAGCCGGCGGGCTCTTCGGTGGGCGCTGGCACTGGCACCACTGTGGTGGTGCTGCCAATTTTCTTGGTGCGTCGCCCCGGACCAAACCAGGAGCCAAACCAACTGCCCAGGCTGCTGCTGCTGCTGCCATCCTCCTCCTGCTCCTCATCCTCGTCCTCATCTTCCCCGTCCTCGGACTGAGCATAGGCCTCGTTGCTATGGGCGCTGTGGTAGAGCGTGTAGCTGGGATATTTGGTATACTTTGTGGGCTGCACCTTGTGAGCCTCCTCCTCGTCCTCATCGTTGGACGCTGACGTTGATGGACTGCCAAAGCCCAAGTCCATTAGGCGTGACATGGCCACTTGAACGGGATAGAAGATCATGCGAAAGAAGCCACCGATGCCACCAGAATCATCATCATCGTAGTCGTCCTCCTCCTCCTCGGAGGAGGCAGCAGCAGCAGCAGGCGGCCTTCTACGTATGCGTATCCGCTTCTTCTTGGCCATGCTGTTCTTTGTGCTGGACAACTCTTCCCCCTCCAGCTCCGTGCTTGTGGGGGAGAGTGTCGTCTCCGTCTCCTCCATGGCCCCAAAGTCGGCGCCCTCCTCCGCCGAGCTGCTGTCCTCCTTGAGATCTTCGGGACTGCTGCTGCTGGTCGTTTGTGCCGCCTGTTCCGGCTCTTTTTCATCACCAGCGTCATCCTCGTAGTAGAACGCATCCTCCTCCTCCGCATCATCATCATCATCATCGTAATCCCCGCCAGACATTAGTTCGAATATATCAAAAGGCGACGTGCCCTTCTTTGCCTTTGCTTTTGTCTTTATCTTTGATTTGTTCTGTTTCTTTGGTTGGATTTTGTTCTGATCTGGCAGAGGATTATGCTCCTTGGCTGCTGCTGCAGCTGCTGCTGTACTGTGATTCCCGTGCAGCAGATGGACAGCATGTGACAGATGCAACACTCCAGTGGCCACACCAGCACCGCCTGCCGCTGGCTCACCGCCCACTTGCGGCGTGGTTTGCGGCTTTTGCTTGGGTTGGGATTTGGTTTTGGTTTTGGTTTTGCTGCTGCTGCTGCTACTGCCCTTGGGTCGCCTTGGCCTTGAGCTGCCAGATCCTCCGCCCCTTCTGCGGGATCTGCTTGATTCTGCTGCTCCTCCTCCTCCGACAACAGTGGCTGATGCTGCCTTCAGTGGGACTGATCTTTCGAGGGAGGGCCTTACTTTAGCTGTGGATCCTTTAACAGCTGCTGCTCCTGCGACTGCTGCTGCTCTTCCTTCATCGACTGATCCTTTTGCTGCTGCTGCTGCTCCTTCTGCTGCTGCTGCTCCTTCTGCTGCTGCTGCTCCTTCCACTCCCCGACGACGTCTCACATGGGCCTGGGGCTGAGTTTTCTGATAATGCTGCTGATATCCCCGATTGTTCCCAAATGAATGCTGACTGAAAATATTCGCCCCCGTTGAGGTGGTGGCCAGCGGCATGTGTGGCTTCTCCAGCTGTGTGGATGTGGATCCTGGCGGTGGTCTTGTTGTCGTTGTTGTTGTCGTGCCGCTGCTGCTGCTGCTTGGTCGCTTGCCCAGTATAATGAGCGGCGAAGCTGGCTGGTGTACCGGCTCCTTGGTGCTGTTGCCTCTCCGCTTGTGTCCAGGCCGCGGCCGCCGTTTGATTGGATTCGGATTTGGCCTCTTCTTCTTGCGCTTCTTGCGCTTTGTGTTGGACGTCTTGGGTCTCCTTGTGGTGGTGCTGGTGGTGCTGGTGGTGCTGCTGCCTTTGTGATGCAACTTCAACACCTGATCGTTGACGGTGGTTATGGGTCCGCTGGTCACCATCACTGGTGGCGGTCGATGCTGTGGCTTTGGCAGCTTATTTGTGGCACCTGGCTGTGTCCTTTTTGGCTTCTGCAGCCGTATGATCTGTGGCCGTGCCGTCACTCCTCCGCCCAGTCCTTGGCCGTTTGGCTTTAGGCTCGGCGTGGAGAGCACAGTGCCTGGGGGCGGCTGCTGCTGCTGGCACTGCTTCTCGTAGCGCTGCCGCAGTGCCAGCAGGTCCGCATCATACTGTGCCTTGGTCACATAGATGGCTATGCCGGAGCTGCTATCGTTGCGGGACTGGGATGCCTGCGATCCCTCGCCCACCTGGCTGATGGCATAGACAATGCCTGTGGCTGGATTGGTAAAGAAAATGGGAAAATTCGCTTGTCCCGAGGAGGAGCTGGTTGGCTGCGGTGTGGGCTGCTTTATCTCCAGCAGCTGACTCTGCACATGCATCAGATCTGGCTCGTGCTGCTGCTCCACGGACTCGAACACATATGGCAGCTGCTGCTGCTGCTGCTGCTGCTGCTGCTGATCCTCCGCTTGCTCCTGAACTTCCTGGCTAAACAATTGAAAATCCAACTCCGTGGCTGGCGGCTCGAAACGTATCGAGGTCTCTGCGTGCTGGTATCGCGGCACAAAGCGCTGCTCCGAGCGCCGATCGCGATGCCACAGGCTGTCGTACTCCTCGGCACTGGGATGGTAGCCAAAATCGTAGGCCAGACACGGCCAGAGGTTGGCCAAGGCCAAGAGCAGCTTGACCACCATGTGACCGCCATTATGGCCACTAGATGCCATCACTCTCTCTCTCGCTCCCTCTCTGTCTCTGTCTCTTTTTCTCTGGCACTCTCTTTACCGCGCGCGCGCGCTCGTCTCTTCACTCTTCACTCTTCAAAAGCGGGGAAGTTCTCTTTGAGGCGTGCGCGACCGTTTGGCTGCGAGTCTGTTTAATAAATGAAACAACGCGACGGCGGCCCAGCCACAGCGACCCAACTTAACCGGCAGGCCCCAGCCGCAGCTCCAGCCCCAGTGACAGCCGGAGAAAGCCCCCTCCCAGCCATTTGGCCATTCTATTGCCTCCCCCCAACCACCCATGCCACCCATCCTACATGAGTTTCGGCTGCTTGGCTTTTGGCCCCGTCGTAACGTTTCAGTGAAGATGATGGCACCGCTGCCATCTCTCCATCTCCTCCACACCCCCCTCCGCTCGTTGCGACCTGTCGAATGTTCTCGCAGGGAAGGGCAGGTGTAGGGAGTAGGAGTAGGAGTAGCAGGCAGGGGAGTAGAAGGGGTAGAAGGGGTAGGAATGCCACTTAATGCCGCTTAACTGGCCTTGCGACAGTTATCGAAGCATTGCAAATTGCCGATCTAATCATACATAGACGGCAGACAGACTCTGCTCTTGTCTAACGAGGCACAGTGGCCACCAAGTCCAAGTCCAACTCAAACCCATCCTCCAGCCCCAGTGTAAGATTTTCTATAAATATTGCCAGGGAAAATCGAACGATGGAAGTTTATAATTATTTTGGTACATATGTTATACATACATAACATACTTATTTTTATAAAAAATATTCCCAAGAATATTCCCAGATGTGGGATTATGTTTATATATAAATGGCATATAAATACCATCGCAAGATTTACGCTTTAAAACTATTAAAAATTTATAAAAATGTCTGCAAATATTCATACGATTTCTGTAGGTAGAAGCAGCAGCAGAAGCCCCCAAGAAGTTTCCCTGTAGAGTAACAATTTCCGAAGTATTATTTAAATAATCTTTAAAAAAAAACAACCAAAATATAAAAAATATGCAATAATTAAATTAAAATGAATTAATTAATTTAAAAGTATATCAAATTTATATACTGACCGAGTACGGGTATAAAAGTAGAGTTGCGTCCACAGAAGCCACTCACAGCGTTCCTTCTCGTTTCATCAAAATTTGTTTGAATTTTTGAAACCACTTTTTGCCCCAAGGTGCACCCGCTGTGTGTTAGCCCACGAGTACCAGCGCCAGCACCAGCACCAGTGCAAGTATTTAAGTATAAGCCAGAGATTGAGATTGAGATTGAGCTTGAGGTTGAGTGCTTCCTGAGGGACGGGGGGAAACGGTTCTAACCTACTCTCGCATGGCAACACGCATGGATCCGGCGGATCGGCCCGTGAGGAACGCGGTCAGGTCATTTGATTGCTGCCACAGCAGCGGCGGCAGCCGCGGCGGCGTGTGGCATGTGGTGTGGGGGCTGTGGCAGTGTGTCCCACTTAGGCGACACAACTCTTTGCTGCCTTTTTGGTGGCAGGATGATGATGATGTTGCTGCCGCTGCTGCTGCTGCGGCTGCTGCTGGAAGCCACCAACAGGTCGGACTTGTCCCAGTCCCAGTATAAGATGGAGGGGGGAGGCAGGCAATAAAAGAAATGCCATGCGATGACGACAATTCCCAGATGATCAGAGATCATCAGCAGATGATTCACATGAGCGGTGCAGGCGGCGCAGCTCCATGGAGTTCCGTGGGAATGGAATGACAGCGAATGGGTGTGCTGGACATCCAAGGGGCAAATGCGAATGCGAATCCATTGGATTGAATTAGTTCAATGGAGATACATTTTAGTCAAATGAATCGGAAAGGCAGTACCCAAAAGAGGAATTTTTACGGGGGGCAAATTATTTGCGGGAGATTTCCATTTTGGTTGCTACAAAACCAAAACCACAACCCCATATCTTTACTTTCTTTGCTCCAATTAAATCTGAATTTTGCGGCCTTGTTTTTTATTTTTTTTTTGGATGTTCAAGGCAGTGACCCGCCCCCTAAGTTAAGTTAGATTTCCATTTTGGTTATAGCTTATGATTTTGTAAAAACTAAAAAAAACCATTCTACCCCATATCTTTCACTTTCTTTGTCATTCTACCTGCACTGAACGCTGTAAATCTGAATTTTGCGGCCTTTTTTTTTTTGGTTTTCGATTGGCGTTTTTTTTCTATTCTGCGCTTTCAGTTTTATTCTTTAATTTGGTGCCACAGATTTTCGCCGTGGGGGGATTCCATGGTCTGGTACAATTGGTTGCCCAGGCGTCAAACGCGGACAGCGGCAGTGACCCGCCGCAGACTGGCTCTCGACTCTAATGTTTAAGAATATTACGAACGTTTTAAACAACTTTTACAAAAAAACCCGGGGGAAACAACCCAGAAGATAAGACTCATTTGAGACCGAAGCTTTTGGTGCCCTTTCCAAAAAATATAAATTCGCATAGCTGATAAATTGGCGTTCCTATTCAACTGAATTTTCGAAAGTTCTGTTGGGTAATCTTTATTAATAATAGTTGCCCTTTTTGCTCACAGGAACCTGGACATTCATTCATTCGATTTGCATGAGCTTTGGCTGGCCTTGGCTTTGTATTTCTTTCTTGGAATATCTTCAAAAATAAATACGACTCGTCATACTTATGATACAGTAATCCGATCCAGACGGTTCCGATCTTTACCACTTATCCATACTCAGTGGAGAAAAAAGAAAAAGAAGTAAGAAAAAGAAAAGAAACACAACACATATTTAAATCAAATATTTTTGTAATTAAAAATTGTAAAAGTATTTTTAATAAAATAAATGAATAAATTAAAATCATAGTCAATATAACTAGCTAGTAAATAACATTTATAGCAAATCTATTTAATCTAATTATACAAATAACTAATTTAAATATCAAAGATATTTATTTGAAGCATGAATTATATTTTAAATATTTTGCATATTAATGGTATACATTGTCACCAGTGAAAACAATTTATTTTTATAATTTGCAATCGCTATAAATTTTTAAATCCAAATCTTAAAATATTCGATGCTCTGGGGATTTATTCAAATGGGCTAAAGAGAGGCTTCTGTGTCAGTTATACCCAGCCGGAAAAGGGTAAGACAATATCAGGTAAAGCACAGCACAGCACAGCACAGAAGCATACTGTCACCGGTAATTACAACTACTAAGACAAAAACTAAAAGAAACAAAAAAAAAACGATAGCAATTTGTTGTCTTTATGCTGTTGTTGTTGTTGCTGTTGTTTTACTGTACTTACTGGAGCATTACTAAAAAACGTTTAACGTTCCACCAGCCAACGGCAATTGGCAGACCAGACGCCCCAGTCCGCGGCGGCAGTGGGGGGCTTTGGGGGTTTGACATTTAATAACAATAATCTAGAGAATAAGATTTACAACAAAAAAGAAAAGAAAAAAGCTAAAAAAAAAAACACAACATTTTAATTGCGAGTTTTCTTTTCGGTCGGTCTCTCGTCTATGATCTAAACAGAAGCCAAGCATGTCAGACATGCTCGTACGACATATACTTACTACATACATATATATATATATATATATATATATATGTATATTATATATAAAAGATATATATCTCTACGTACAGAAGACCAAGAAGATTATCTACATACATACCGGTGCCTGTTTTGTTGCTGTTGTTGGACGAGTCAAGAAGTTAGTTCCAGGCCAGCGGCCACATAACTTTTATTCGACTTTGAAAGCGAAAGTCCAAGAGAAAAAATCATCGCTTTCTGCACAGCTTAGAACCATTTGCTTAGATCTCACATCGATCCAAAGTACTCACAAATAAAATCAAACACCAAAAAGTAGCCTTTGGATATGTCAATAATTATTGATTATAATCCATTGGTTGTGCATAGAGGAGGAGTAAGCCAGTTGAAAGTGTTTCACTTTATGAGCGATCTGGGAGATGTATTGGTGTCTGCTGCAGTCCAAATCTGAGGTTCTAAATTGGGTTTGCAGGAGGGTAAAGCATACCCTTAAGTACGCAAAATGGTTACCCATTTTCTCTACTGTCCACAGAGGATCTAGGCGGCTCCGAAGAAACAGGACCTGATTGTTGCTAAGAAGCGTAAAGCGAAATCCCTGATATTTCAAAATTCGTAGTGCTAATAATCATTGTAGCAGCGTATTAACATATATTTTATATTTGTGGTTATTTTATGTCCTTTGAGAAGGTATTACATATGTATATTCCATAATCAGCATCGAACAGGTGTTCCAACTGTTTGAAACTTTTTTCTTCTTTTTTGACTTTTTCTGATGGATTTCGGGATTTAAAATTGTTTAACGAATTAAGGCTTTTTTTATATGGTTTATTTTTTTTTTTTTAACAACTATTTAAAATCTGGTAATTTTTTTAATGTTCTTTGTCAGAGGTAGTGCTTCTATTTTTCACATAGCTTAAGTATCTTATATCTGGTTACAAAGAACTTTGCAGCTCTGAAAAGCTGACAAATGCAGCTATAAATCCGACCCAGAAACTTCGTAGCTGCAGCCTAACGTCTGGAAGATATTAAGCCTTTAAATTCAAATTTGATAACAGGAAAAAAAGTTCAATTTTGTCGAGCAGTGTAATTAGCAGCCATGAAATGTGTGTGATGTGTGAAAAGAACAAAAACACAACGAAAACAATATGAAATTCAAAATGTAAAATTAAAATAGAACGCTCCACTCGAGATAAAGGAAGATCCAATGATAGAAATGTTTAAGAGATCATAATTTAATATGATGGCAGTTCATTGAGGATCAAATCCATTAGCAGCAAGTTCAACGACATTTAATGAAAATTCCTTCACTCAGCACACATTTTCTTCATTCTTCATTCAACATTCAACATTCAACTCAGATACATTTTATTTGTTGTTTTGACAGAATGATAAATAGAGAATCAGAGGAACAAAAATAAAGATATAGACAGGCAGACGGAATAGATCCCCACGCACGTTCTGGCTCGTTGGCTGCTTGACCCAAAATGCGA